AAAAAGACCGTTTTTTTCACTATAAAAAGTGTAAAAAATGTGGGTTTTTTGGTACATTCTTTGGACGGTTTTCAGTGAATTTTAACCCAACAACTCTCTTTAAAAACTTTTTCGTATATACAGTTTTGTAGAGCTCAATGAGCTCTATCGAACCATGTAAAAATATCCAACAAAAACAATTTAATCCATTTTTCAACTACTGGCACTTTACTTTTTCACCCCAAAAAAAGTATAAAATTTCTGAAAATTTATTTAAGTCGACATTAAAAGGTTTTCATAATCCTCATCATTTAGTACCAATAAACCCCATTTTTCATAGGCTTTCATTTGGTATAAAATTCATCATGTCTTCTATTTGAAATTATAGCGGTACCCCCCTTGAATAATATTATCTCCCACCCTGTATCATGGATTCTTTACAGGTATTGATGTAGTTTCAGGTGCTGGTAGCTCAATAGCTTCAATCACAGTTCCATCTTCACCGACTGAAAATTTATCGTCTATTGAAATTCAAGCTATGTCGTTCAATTCATCACCTATTGGTATGAAACTTTAGTTGTTTTCTCTCGTTAAAGTTCATCTAAGATATTTCGTTTGTCTACATTTGATCTTTTCCATTACAACTAAGCAATCTTTGAATTTTGTGAAAGTTTTCATTTCTGTGCATATGAAATTATTCAAAAGGCTCTTTTCTTATTTCATAATTTGCAAGTTAACCTAGCATTCAAATCTCATTTTAAGAAGCTGTTTTTAATTCGTTTCAGAAGTTGTAAATAATCTATCATTTAATGTTATTTCATTCACTTAATGTGATTTATTCTACTGCAAATTGGAAAACAATGTGTTTTAGAATTGCTAATAATATCTAATGATCATCGAAATACAACTTCAAAATTTGTTTAGTAAAAAGAATCTAATCGATTCTGTCTTATGTTTTGCTAAATAAAATTTTCGCATAGAACTCAATTAAATGCATGTTCCTTGTCTGTCATGAGGAATTTATATAATATATTTGCTATGATAGTAAAGTCAATATGAGAGGCCTAGTTTTTACGAATTAGTTTAATATTGATCTGAGTTTGCTGAAAGTTCATTAACTTAATTAAATTAAAGTTTCTTCAACAAAAATATCAAAAGTTTGTTTACTATTTCTAATTCTGTGAGGAAGAGATAAAAATATTTCAGGGAACATATCAATTGGGAGAAATAATTTTTTAATCTCTATTATGTTTTACTCAATAGAAGGGTGTTGATTTTTTTATGATTAGAAGTACTTTTCGAATTATTTTAGGAATATCAACAACTGATTCAGCACTATATACTCCACCCACACCCGAAGAGGACAAGTAAACATCTAAGTCCAATGCGGACTTGGTCGAAGTCGCGTCGAATTGATAATTGAAATTACTACTAGTCCATTACTTTACGTTTTAAGTTTTATTTGTTTCTGTTGTGTGTTTATATTAGTATTTCTCTAGTACTTTACTATGATCTTGGCTTAACCATGCAGAGACGTTGAAAATTCAAATCATGACAGATTCTTAATGAAAAAATCGAACTTGGTACCGTCATTAGAATAAAAATATAATGACAATAGAATGAATATTTGACCAACGGTAGTCTGAAAATCGTCTAATTTGATTGTTGAAATTCATAAGTCGCTATTTAAGTCTGTTCCCAAGTATTTATTGTGCCAAAATCAATTGCTCATGTTTATTTAAAAAGTTTCTAGTCAAAATGAGAATGGATTTTTTTAATCAAGAATCCTTATCTTATACTCAGCAGGACCGAATGTTGAGCTAATAATACTAAAGAACATATTTCTCTATATATTATCTACACATAGGCAAAACCGTTTTGCAAAAATATGATTTTTTAAAGTTGTTCTTCAATGATAGAGTTAGTGTGGTGATCTGACAAGGAGAGAAGTTGTTTTGAAAGCTATCAAATTGATGTTACTATCAAGTGACATATGAAATATAGAATATCCTAGTTAAATACATATGCATATGTCGTATTTACATAATAAAATTTGCCAACTAAGAGTGTGGGTGTGGGTATGCAAAAGAAGAACACCCACACCCAGACCCATACATCCACATACTCTTGTTCAACTAGTTTTCTGTCAAAATATCTTGTACTGCTAAAATTTGTGCATCCCAGGTCGAAAAAGCTGACGTAAGATCTTCAATACTAGATACGATCATGCAAAATCTTTGTCTCAGAAATTTGCATTAGCTCGTACCATTTGATTCTTGAAATATCTTGCTATATTGTAAGATATGGCTATAAAATTATAGGAAATCTTGTGCAATAATAAGATCTTTCAAGAATCTGATGGTACGAGCCGACGTAAGATTTCTGAGACGATAAGTTTTTGTATGATCTTACAAAATAATACAAGGTCAGATTCAGAATCTTGTCAGATGTTAGTATGTGATTGTTTGCCCTGGAAAGGTGTATCTCGTTTGAGACCGTCGCATATCTCATTTTAAACTTTGCGCGATGATAGTTTTGAGTCTAAGTAAGCCAAAATTCGTTAATGGTGTCATACTTAGGTATATCTTAAAATGTTGCAGATATCATGTTTAGGTAAGCCTTAAAAACTGGTAAGTATGATGATCAAGTTGAATTAAACAAATTACGATCATAGTACCCAGTTTAGCACTAGAAAATTTTTCACTTGGCTCACTATAAAACAATAAGCGAACACTTGTACGAAAATACAGATTCAGGAAAACTGGTCTCGAAGCTTCGGGTTTCTGCAGTTTCGAGCTTACATTTCTTATCTGCTCCACTCCTGATTCAATCCGTTCATGCTTATAGCTACATGGCCCTTTAATAATCCAAATTAACAATGAAGTGACCCGTTATACGTTAAAAGTGGTGAGTTTCAATAAAACTTTTTCTATAAAAACTATATAAAGTTTATTTGTCGCTTCAAATAGAGCTCAAGTTTCAGTAATTTTTCGTTTCTTTTGGGAGAGACATATCGTTCATACCTAGAATATTGTCAGTGACATTTTTTCATTAATGCTTCCATTCTCAAAAATTGATCTCAGCCAAGCTAGTTTCAAATTCCCTAAAATTCTCCGAATATTTTAGGGCTGTGCTGAAAAGACTCAGCCCTATGTTATGATAATTTCGGCAGATATACATAAAACAAGAGCCAAAAGTTGCTCTTTTGGCAGCCAGACATTCTCTGTTAGGCTTCATTTTATATATTTTACTGTGTTTGGTTTAAAAGAGCGCATCAGTCAGTAATGCCTACCAGAACCATTATCTTTCTTTCTGACTTTTTAAGTCGGAACAAGGATGATCAATTCTATGTCTCGAAAAACTCTCAAAAAATGACACTAACTATATAAGTACCCTTTTATTTAATAGTAACAAATCTTATTAAAAAAAGCACTGTGATAGATACTGCAACTAGACATAGTCACTGAAGCAAAAAAATGTATAAGAATAAGAGTCCACAGAGTAATCTGGAAAGTGCCATCAGAATAGACTAAATGGCGAGAAAAACGAAGAACATCTACCACTTTTTGCGATTGGTAGGGTGCTTTAAACATGGTCGATTTCCAAGTCACAAATATGATTGTCAACTATTTTAAACTTCAAAGACCTTCAACATTAGCAGGAGACACCTGATTCTATTGTATGTCATCGAAAAACAACTGAAACACTCAATGACAATCATCAACAATCATTGACAATCATTGGCAATCAGACAATCAGCTTTTTCCCCCTTGATTTGAGTACTTATTATAAATCGTTTGAATAATAAAATAGTCTATTGGGTAATTTATTTGTTCTACTTGATATCATGAAAACAAAACATAGAATGCTTGTTGTGCATATCGAGATAGAGAGCACGAATCGCCTACATATGTTTGTAAACTATAGTTTTGTGTTGTGTACCACTACATCTTAAGGTTTGCTTTAGCGGAGTATCACAGACAGTAAACGAACGTTGTTCCTTCATTGTTTGTAACAACTAGAAGAGAACTCTTCTAGATCGTGATCCGAGCGAACAATGCTGTGTTCTCCCTGTCTAATAAATGAACAAACTTTGCTTAAATCTGGTTAGCCGATAGTTTTCAAAAGAACTAATTAGATGCAACGACACTGTGCTTCCTATTATTTTACGGAGGAAACGTAAAGTTGATTAGAACATATGACAGCATACCATTGAAAACTCGAAGATTGGATGGAACGAGGCCATATTTTATCTGGTGTTTAATAGTTCATGAACGCATGAGGTCGTAAGCTATCACATGCATGAGCTAGATTCAAATAACATTGAATAGGCTACTTATGAAGCATGTTTCATCAAAAGTAGTTGATCTAAACACCTCACTCAGCCCAAAAGAACTAGTCGCTTTACCCAGTTTGTGGAAAATATGTATTTCATACCATCGGGGCTGTTCTAGCTTTAATCAGTATGCATTTCACAGTAATAAGAAACAAATCAGAAAACATCACACAAAATAACTCATGATATTCAAGAAATCCAGCGCAACAACGAACAATCATCATTGGCCGACAGATTAATACTTAGAGCACTCGTCCGAATCGAAATAACCTCTAAATAAAACATGTGATAAATACATAGCCAAAACCATCTAATGACACCATTGAGGCAAATCAAAAAGTGTTATAATTTTTTTCATTCATACTCTCACTCTCACACCCTCGATCTTGAATGTTACCTAGGAGAGAAGCATTTTTTGAAATAAAAACAGAAAGCCATGAATAATTTTTATTCTGCAATTAATAATTCTAATTTCAACAGAACAAAGAACAATGCTACATTAAAGTAAGAAACGCTAATTAAGAAATAACAAATAAAAAAAGAAACTACTACTTCGTGCATCATATAATAAAATATTTTAATATGAGTGAAACATATTGTTAATAAGTAAAGTAGGATAAATAGATGGTTAGCATTATAAATAAAGTCTTGTTGTTGAGCTGTCGTTACTTCACTATGCGATCACTTACTTTTTACTAATAGCTTTTAATAAGCCAAGTGTTGGTTCAATCGATTTGATATGAATATTAGACTTTGCAACACCAGCTTGTGTAAGAGCATTTTTGGCCGCAGCCAAAAATACTTCTGAGCCGGATATATAGGCATGGGTGCCTGGGTGTAATTTGCCTTCAAGATGGTTCTTGGAAATTGGATTATCTTTTGTCAACATTAAGTACTGGCCTTTTGGAAGCGTATTTTGTAATTGGCTGGCAAAGGCAGCACGATCTTCACTTTGCACACACTGAATTACTGTTGCTGAAGCTGCTTTTCCCTGTTTATTCAATTCGTTGATCATTCCCATCAAGGAGGCAATACCAATACCACCACCAATAAATAAATGACTTGTTGCATCACTGACAAGTCCAAAACTACCAGCAGGAGCTGAAACTAAAAGCGTGCCATTAACTTGGCGGTTGCGAATAATTTCTTCTGAGACAATAGTATTCTGATCAACATGTCCTTCTCTACAAGCTATACTGTACGTGCTGCCATTGTCTGGTTCAAGGAGAGCATAGTGTCCCTGATGGAGAACACCATCTTTTTCAACACGTATTGTAATATATTGTCCAGCATGATGAGGCCAGATTTTTCCACCATCTTGACGTTGAAGCGTGAAAACACATGTCGGTCCACTTGAGATAGTTTCTTTCTTGGTAACAGTGAATGGAACAAAGCCTTTATCGTTGCCAAGTTGAGCGTACAATTCCTTCTCTTGCTTAATGAAGATTGATGACATAAGACCATAAAGGGCTTCAAATGCAGCCATTACGTCTGGTGTTGCTTTGCTGCCCAAGTTTTCTTTGATTGCATTTAATAAGTGCTTGCCGACGGTTGGATAGTGCTCTGGTTGTACAGTAACAGCTCGATGCTTGCTAGAAAGACGGGACATCTGTGGTGTCATTAAATCCGTATTATCAAGATGTTCGATGAAACAACAGATGGTCTCTGCGAATGCTGCAGGTTGCTTTCCTGATGCTATATTTGTTTGATTGAAAAAACCACGAAATTCTGGATTTTCTTTGAACAATGTTTCATAGAATTTCGTTGTTATGTTTTTGCTGTGCTCTCGTACAGTGCTGACTGTTGATTGAAGAAGTTTCTTTTGTTCGTCGGTAACCGTCATTTTCGTTGTTGAATAAACACTAGATTTTGTTGTTGTTGTTGACAAAAAACACCACTATACTCTAAAGAAAATAAATTTATAATGAAGATTTCATGGCTCGAACTTTGGTACTGTTCTTTAAACCTATTTTAAGAGACGATTTGCAATGAAATTGCAAATATTAGTAATAGCTTGTCATTCAAAAACTGTTGGCCTACTCTCTTTTATGATCGTAAATGAAAGTGTATAGAAAAGAAATTTCTCAATTCTAAACTTTAGTCTTGTCTGATTGGCCTTTGAAAAGATATGAGAGAAACGTTGGCATTATCTCAATTATGCTCTAAGCAGAATCATCGTTTTCTTTTCCCGTTTTGATCCCATTTCTCATGAAAAAAAAATTTGTAAGACGCACAGGTTGATAAGAAGTTCTTATAAATTCGATGGAACAATAACAAAACTACACAAGTTGTATCTAAAAATCATCTAAAATCTTGCACATAGTGCCCTACTGTAGCTTGGAGGATAAAAAGTTACTATGTTTCTGTAACATTTGTTTCTTATTTTCAAAGCACCTCAGTTGAAAAATAGTACAATGACTATTGCTTTTTATTATGAAGACTACTCAATATGGGAAACCCTGCATGTATTTGTTATACAAGTTGAAAGATGTTACATATAATTACTTAAGCAGTTATATGTAACATTTCAAAAGGGTATATATGTTTCTCTCGTATCTTTATTTACTGATAATTTTTCGAACACTCTTCAGTCAAGATCTTAGTGAAAGATACGGCGCAAGTCGTATCGTTTCTAGTAAGATTGCGAACCAAGTGACGTACACAAGCAGTCACTCTGAGAGAGAGAGAAAGTGAAAGTGAAAATGAAAATGAAAATGGTCTCATCTACTTAAAGAGATGCACATCTCACGTCTTGCTTTGCGTTTTTTATTCTAGATCTTTCGGATAGTACTTAAAAGAATTCCGCAATGACCTTGGAAGCTTTTCTAGTATTAAAATGTTCGACAACACTCTTTAAGGTTTTCTCTAGCTTCGAATTTGTTAGAGCATACAAAACAGAATATGTCTGTTTTGTTAGCAAAAGACATCATTGGAACTCAGGGTTCATGTGTATTGCAAATCAAAATTATCAGAAAGTAATTCAGACTTGTTTCAGAGTTTGTCACGCACATAAATCACAAAATAATTTTCAATTTTATCTACTTTAAATAAGAGACTTATTCAAATCGTTTGCTTCGTACTAATTTCAAATTCTGATAGATCCTACGAAAACTATTTATATGAATCGATGAATGCTGAATGATTTTATAATTTATTTCCGTCATCTAGTGTCGTCTCCTATGTAAAGGTTTATGTGGAATACAATGATGTATGACTACTCATCTCGAAATATACAGAAGAAACTTATATTCTAATAAATTACTTTGAATGTCTTGCAATACTAACAATATCTAAATAAGTTTCATGAAAACGGATATTTCTTACAGTTGTTAAGAGTTGAATTCTTGGCTGACACTAAATACTTGCCGTCCAAAAATAACTAAAACATATATTATTTGAAATCGCGTGTCGAGCTTAGAAGGAAAAATTCGATTTAGCTGCGCAAAATATTGTTTTCTGCTCAACAATCACGAACACATACGGAAGAAAGTTACTGAACAAAACAAAACATGAAACATGTTTGTGCAACGCTGTGATTCACGTGAACCGGTTTGCTAATCTAAAAGAGACATTTTGGAACAACTACGTAAGACAAGATATTGGGTAGCTCTCATAGAATGCGATACTATGCTAACGCATGCATTAGCTAACAGTTAAAAGAATGAAACAAATAAATTTCTGTTTATCTCATTTTTCTAACTGATTGCAGATAATGAATATTATGGTTTATATACCACATAAAGTATATCTTCAGATAACAAGAAAAATATCCCATTATCATATCCGGATATAGAAGAAGAGCAAAAACGGAACACAAAGAACAGTACCCATATAGCAACAAAAATGTGCCCCTTTTTTTTGCGTTGCATAAAGTATTCCATAAATTATTTTCTATTTTGCCTTGAAATAGTATTATCGATGCAAGATATAGGAGATAACAAAATAACTCATATATCACTTTGTGATGATATTTGCCTATCTACTTTGTTGACATATGAAAGGACATTGAAATATCTAAAAGAGTATATATTGTTAGCTCTATATGAATAAGACCATCTGTTTTCTATCCCATTGGATTCTCAATCATGCGTATTCACTACTTTTTTCTTATTTCTAAAAGATAACATATATCCGAACAAAAGAACTAACAAAGAATCCACATCAGTCGCACAAAGAGTAAGATGAGAAAAGCAATAAGCAGAAGCTGCAGAAAAACAAGAAAGATAATAGAAATAAGCTATACATACTGATACTGCGAACAACATAACATTCTCGATGTGGATCGAAGTTGAAGTTTTGATAAAAAGTAATGTTACTTTGTAAATAAAGACAAGGAAAAATTTTATATTAAGTCTTTTACTTAAAGCAATTCAATTAGAATCATAAAGTATTGTTTGAGCTGTAAACTTGTATATGTATTTTATGCGTTCTCTGATTTTTTTTTGAAAAGTTATTCAATAAGATTAATCATTTATAGTCGAACTAACTTCATCTGGAGAATTAGAATTTGATGAATTATAATTCTCAATTTCTTATTGAAATCAATTATATTCATGTTATGTTATCTCATATTCACATTGACTACAGCAAAATTATTTCATTAATTGTTTCTGGAAAAAGAGGAATGAATCAAAGAAGATTTTATTTTTTCTTCTATTCATTTATACAACAAAAACGTATATTTGATATTCATTTGAATGATGACCACAATATTTTTATTTGAATGCTTGAATATAACAATCATAATGAACAAGTTCAATCTTATTTTCGATTTTCATAGTTAAAGAAGATAGATTTAATTTAACATATGCTTCGATCAAATGTTAAATTTTTAACGTATAACTATGCAAACTAGTATTTTCTGATTTAATTTTGTTTCATATTCGTTTAGTTGTTTATTTGATTCATGCAAAGGATTACTGGCGTAAATCATACATATCTCATTCATACTAATTACATTTTTGTTGGGGATGAGAGTGTGACAATGCATAGAAGCTATCATGAAGAGTTTCTATCCTACTAAGTACATTAAGATCAAGTCACGGATAAAGTTCCGAACAATCATTTATTGAATAATTAAATCATCTTGCAGTGGAGATGTTCGTGTTGATAAGCGAAAAAGATTAAAATATTAGCAGGCCTTGGTTTGCCTAGAGGAAGATATTCGAATTTTATGGTACTCACTATTTGACAATATGGGAATATTAAGATTATTTATATTAGTTTTTTATGCAATCAAGTGACTATTTCAGTAGTGGGCTACAAAAATCCTTCTGAAATTTATCAATAACATTAAGACCACATTAGTGTAACAACCGAACGCAACGTGGATGTTGTTGTTCTTCCTCAATAGAAATAACTGCAATGCCATTTTCTGCTTATCCATACCTCTATCCTTCTTCCTTTTCTCTATGTAATTTGTGCGGACATTATTAGTTCGTTCTTTTCTCGTACAAAATAGGAATAACCGCAATATCCTTGTCTGCTCCTTCCTCTTCCATATATACTTAAATCTGTTAATAGCGTTTTGTCCTTGCCTCATAAATACTGTTATTTGCAAACTAATTAACCACAATATTTTTCCATCTCTCTCTTTCCTTGCATGCAACCATACTATCCATTTGTCCTTCTCTCATACATTGTGTTAACCATAATTGTTCCCTCGATTGAAGGAAGGATCATATGAAATAAAATGCGTATGTGTGTTTGTAGACGGGATCAAAAAAAAACCACGGTGACTTTTTGATAAAAGTTCACGAAAGTAAATCAAGGTCAACGAATCCGAATCTAAAATCAGTTTTTCAACATTTTGAATTGAATTTTCAGGGTCAAGAGAAGAGTTTTTTGAGAAAATAGCGATACTTTAAAAAAGGTATGGGTGTTTGCGTTAATCTTTAGTGCATCCAAACACACACACACACCTCACACACCACTGGAGGATTTGTTGAATCTCCAGTTTTAGCAACACTTCTTCTGGATTCAATTCAAGGTTCAACAAATAATACGAGTCTTTGTCATTTCTCTAGATCTTTACGTCTCGATAGAAATACTTTATTATTTAATTAAAATTCATTTAATGCATTTTATTAAATATATAATCAAGATCTTCTTTCATTTTTTATTTTATTGAATATCATAGTAACATATTCTGTTTCATTTCTTAATAAGCATATAACTCTCATGATGATTGACTTTAAATTCCAATTGTCTTTTCTTTCTAAATGAACATTCTTCATTGTGGATAATAGAAAAACTGTAATTAAAATTCTTTAAAAACGGTGCATGCAAATTATCGACATATATATAGTTCAGACAAACAAATTATTAAACCATTAAAAATAAAAGTTCTTTATTGCTATTCATATTTTATTAAAATGCACTTGATCATACAGAAAATAAATATTAGGAAATATTTACCAGTCGAATTAATATCTATTTCAAATTAAGAGATGGATGAAAATTTTGCAAATAGTTTTTGATTGGAACAAAATAGAGATCTTCGATTTTGACGATTTAAAAGAGGAAATGAAACTGTATCGAATTTTGAACACTAGTTTTATTGAATAAGTTCTCTCAGAGCCATGTACCACATTTCTTGAACTCAAAACATTGAAATATAAACTTTTCTAAACTTAAATTTTCATCAGTGCATCAGAATCTTGGACTAAATGTCAATATTCTATACAAGGTCTCTATTTAAAGGTTAACTCTATCATAATCCCTCACCTTTATGTTTCCTGTTTCCGGTAGATTTTTCAGACAAAATTGACTTTTTTCTGATAAATCGATCTTAAACACACCCAATCGCCATCATTTTCGGCAACATTTATCCATCTCGCTGGAAACTGTTCGATCCCACACTTGTAGACATTAGCTTTTAGCAAGATTAAATCCTAAAACGCTTTCTCGAAAAACATCTGTTTTCGAGAGATTCTATCAAGGTTCAGAGATCTCCAAGAAGGGTTGGTACCATTCGGAAGTAGTATCAAAATTTTCATTCGATTGGAAAAGTATTTTTTTGGTTTGTTTGTATTGGAATTTCATCAAGTTGTTAAGGAAAATTAAATTGATTTATATGAAATAATTAAACATGTTCATAAAAAGTTTTCTAGAAAGATTTTGTAGACTCGATAGTTCTGCACAGAATATACTATTTAATTTCTAAAAATACTGTCTTAATCCATAATTTTTGAAAACTAAAAAACATAAAATGAATTTTGATATCATTTCATGTGGCACGTCCTTAACAAATGATTCTGTTCATATGTTCGGATCTTATCGGTGGAGAAAGCACCTATGTGCTTATACATAGTTGCTACGGCTGCTTCACTCTTTTTAATCATGCGATAATTTTTTAACTCTAAATATTAATTAGCTGATGGCTTTGTACAACCAAGGTTGATGTTGTATTACTTGAATAATTCTTTTATTATGGAAATTTTTTCTAATTACAATTCAAATTCGTGCTGGAGATCATCCGATGACTCCGCCAGATCTTTTTTCGGATGAAAAGATAACACTAATTTTTTTTTGCAACTACAATATGCAAAGGATTGAATGGCAGCCATTATTGTAGTGTTTATGTTGTTAAAACTACGAAATATTTATCCAACGTTACTTAATGAACGACCTTCTTGTCAAAAATCAAAGCTTATTATTTGTTGAAGCAATTTAACATTGATTCAAAATTTAATAACTGATTTATAGGACTATTCAATTCAAGATCAGTCAAATATTCAAAAGAAAAAGTATATGAGAAAAATTCTCTCAAGTATAGGGCTACATCTAAATGAAAAGGAGATCGTTTTCAAAATATTGTCAAACTTTTTCTTCGACAAATAATTACTTGTTAAGAATTATTTTTTCATTTACCCACATTTGTTACAAGATCATTATTTTAAATTCTCAGCAAAACGTTCAACATTCTGTATTCAAGTGAATGAGATTGTTTGCAGACGAAATTCATCAGATCAAAAACGAATTTTTTTCGTAACTATACATAGGTGACGTTAACATTGATATCAAGTAAAAAGTTGTTAATAATCACCCAGAAACTTGTTCCAGAGCTTCCATTATTATTTTCCAGATACAAATCAATTATCTCTTTTCAGCAATATAGTTAGGTGGCCCACAGTAAAAATAATTTTTCTAAAATTTTGAATGTAAGAATATCATTACATTGTAGCCGTTTCTATTACGATATATCCGTGGTAGGTTTCTTTGAAACTGTTTTTATTAGTTTCGTTATGCTTTAAAAAAGAGTTGAGTGATGCTTATTATTCGAATAATCCTTTCAGATTTATCACTTGATTGGAATTAGTTTTCTTACTTCAACAGTGGTATCATTTCACTTGGAATCTTCTACGACGATCGTTGAAATCGATTTGTGATTTGTGCAGCAATCAAAATATTGTCACATTTGGCATGAAAGAATATTGTTAGTGTGTGAGATAATAAAAGAATTTCAACATATTACATGAAACAATCGAACAGATTTCGAAGGATTTGTATTGTTAGAAAAATAATTTACTTATAATAAAAAAAATCAAATAAAAATTCTTATCAGTTTATACCATTAGTTTTTTTTTAATTTAAATTAATAAATAAAGAGCAATCATTGAAATTACCAAATAAACTTCTTTTTAAATACGATTATTGGCAATGTTTCGTTGGTCATCAGAATACTCTTTCTTGACAAAATCTGCTACTTTTTCACACATACTATAGAGTGTAAATGTTGGATTAACATTCAATTGTGTTGGAAATAGACTAGTATTACATATGCGAACATTTTTTATTCCAATGACACGTGCTTCATTATCTGTACATTTACCTAATGCGCATGTTCCTATTTGATGATAAGCACTACACATATTCAATCGACGGTGTCGATCATCAGATCTACTATATCGATCTCCAGGAAAAAGTTCATTTTTAATTTACTGTTTACCCCATTTTGTATATCGAGTCATACTACGAACAAAATCAACACCATATTGTAGATTACTTCGATCGTATTGAGACAAATAATGCCAATCATGATCAATTTGTGGTCGATCATATGAAGATAAACTTTGAATTTTAACAGTTCCCTGAGATTCAGATTGAGTATTGAATACAAGAAATATTATGAACGGAATTGATGATTGTGATTAAGCAACAAATAGATCATAACCAACGATTGGAAAATCTAATGTCAATGCAGGATATAGTGAATAACAATAGATTTGTATATCTGTCCAATTTTTATTACTCAGTTTTAATCCACTATTTAACAACCATCCACAAGTATCAGCACTCTATGATAATGCAGCTAGTTGTTCAGTAGTTTCAAAAGCCGTATAAATTGCCATTTGATCGAGAAAATGTCTTCCTACTTTTTCATTATTTGCCACAACTTGGATATCCAAGAGTTTCAGCCATATTTCAAGACCAACACCAGACAATTGCAAAATTTTTGGTTTATCAAATACACCAGCGGATAGAATGACTTCTTTTCTTGCAATAGCTATACGTATTTCTCCTTTATATTCATCCGAAACACGAATACATTTTGTTGGAACAGTTTAATCGAATAAAAGTTTCAAAACAGTTCCTGAATCCAAATTTTGAAAATTTGTTCGATTGAATTTAGACACACTATTAAATAAAGGTGGAGCAATATCTACTGGACCATCTCATTCGTCATTCTACACGATAGAAATTGGCCACGCTTGTTCTTATTCTTTCTCTTTCTCTATAATATAATATCTATATTAGAAAAGCAAGTGTTTGTTACACTATCGCAAAAAATTGCACAAGTTCGAAATTTTTGCAAAATTTAATTTAATAGAATAAATTGAATTAAAATAGGTACTATTGTAATGAATAGTGCCGAAGATCTAAGCTCAAACGATTTGATAACAGATGTTCACGACGAACCAATCGAACGATTGCACAACAGGAAAAGGTCTGTTCAATATCCAAATGAATATGATTCAATGAATCACACGCCTAAACGTAATCGAATGGATAATTCCAGTTTTAACAGCAAGTTCGATCCAACACCCCCAAATTCAGGTCAAAATCAACAACAAATTAATTCTCAACTCGTATCAACTTCATCAAATTCATATTTTAAAACATAAAACAGAGCGAAGAAATCGTCCAATGACTCATCACGATTATCTTTTCCACCATTCTGTATTAAATTATAAAATTTAAGTTATCCTGTTACACAAGTTGCTATAATTAAAGAAATAAATAGCCATTGTAAATTGAATTTCACTTATGGAAGATATATTAAAACAAAAGATGACGAAAAATGCTTTTTACTTTATGCAAGTACAACAGCACAATTCGAACATCTTATGGAAATATCCAATTGGCCAAGCAGAATCCGCAATGTTGAATATGAATTAGTGCTACCTAAGAAAATGCCAACATCTTATTCAATTGTTGTTCTTAATGTTCCATCTCAGTGGAATGAACAAATTTTTGGAAATGAATTAAAGCAACACTATCCATCGATAGTACGTGCGGTTCGTATATTTGTCAAAGGGAGACGACCATTAAACAAAGTTCGCCTTGACTTTTCTTCATTTAAGGAATTATCGATCATTCTTAAATCACGACGTATTTTATTAGATGATAATAACACAGCGTTTACAATCGAATCATATCAAGCGCCCATAAGAGTACTACGATGTTATAACTGTCAGGCTTATAATGATCACATTGCTGCGCATTGTCCAAATAAAAAGGATCCAATTTGTTTTAGACGCGGGCAACATCATTCTTATAATCCTGGCTGTAATAATCCTGTTCGATGTGTGTATTGTAGTGGAAATCATATGGCAGGAAATCCAGCTTGTCCGAGAAAAAAATAGAACAACGTAGTGAAATGAACCAACGGCAGAAATTACTAAATAAGACGGCTAACATACAAATGCAGCAACAGAAATCAGCTTGGGATGAAAATACTATAGCGCATCTTTTTGGACGTGAATTAACAATAAATAGAAATAATAATATCAATAAGGAAGTAGATCTGATGAATTTGCTAGAAAAAATCAATAGCACAGTGTCCTATATTAAAGATCAACAAGAGGAATTAAAGACAAAATTAGATTCATTCAATGAGAAGTTAAATTGTTATATGAATGATTTTAACCAAGTAAAATTTTGTATTAATGATATTCTATGTTCCCTTATCAAGGAAATCTCTAGTCAAGTGATTCAAAAGACAAAGAGACTGAACAAACAAACTTTTCCCCCTCTCTATGGCAAGCTATTAAACTTTATGTTAACAAATACTGTTTCATCAAATGCCACAGATGTTCCAATTAACCATATTAATAAAAGCTTTATATCCAATAGTAACACAAATCAAACAAAATTGAATGAATCGAAGTGCTAATTTTTTTTTTCTATGCCAAAAGATCTATATCATATACCAATACCTAATTTATCCAACAAACAAAATAAAATTTTTCAAGATCTCATTCTGGAATGCACCACAACACCAACATTAGAAAATCTTTTCACTAAATGGAAACAGCGACAACAAAAAACATGCGACATGCTCAATATAAAAAATAAATTATCGATTTTGTTATTAAATGCTAGTAGCCTACGACTTTATATTTATGACTTATTTGAATTGTTAAACCAGATACACGTGTCTATTATGATTCTAAATGGAACAAGGCATGATACTGATACATTAAAATGCCTCTCGAACCACCTGACAATTTATCAGATATTTCATCAGAAAGGAACAAATGCGTTTGGAGGTGTATTAATAGCCGTTCATCGCTCGATTCCTGTTCCACGAGTAAGAGAATTTGATAATATTTGTAATTCGATTGTTCTAGACGTTGGAAATACAGCAAAAAAATTTCAACTTGCAACATTTTATTCGCCTCCAAATGAAAAATTACCTATAAATATTCTTAATGATATCATAAATCGAAACGCTGATACTATAATATGTGGGGACTTAAATGCAAAGCATGATTCTTGGTCCAATACAGATAATAATCAAAAAGGACGTTTTTTATTCGAGTGGCTACATGATAGTCACCTACAGGTTGTCAATAAATGTATTCCTACCTCAACTAGATCAAATGCAGTAATTGATCTAATATTAGCACCGCCAAGTATGATTTCAAATCCTTTTACGGTACTTCCTTCTATTGGAAGTGATCACTATCCTGTTATCTGGTCGCCACCATTCCATGTACCATCAAAAGACTTCTTTATCCCAATTAAACGTACCTATTGGGGATTACATAGATTATTTATTACATTCCCCTTTACTTATTGGGATAATTTATGTTCGATTATGTCAGATAAAATAGAATTTTTTACTCTCTAAGAACGTTTTTTGGTCTTGTCGGCAGCAAGATTAACTTTTGTATCATATTCATATGCATATCGTCGATCGATACCACCGGAGACAGTTAATTTGATACAAATTAAACGATTCTGTCTTGATTTAGCGAGAAAAACGAAACATCCATACTTTATATTAAAATTAAAATTATTTTCAAATTACATACGGAAAGTTCTTTTTGCCCACAAAAAAAGAATATATGAAACGATTATTGCAAGACTCTCAATAATTGCAATGTTAAACAATTTTGGAGAAAGTCGAAGCGCCAGTTCTCTTCATTCTCACCACCTATTGAAGGTATTCTTCAAGATGGAATGCCTATCACGTCACCATCAGAAATGTGCGATATTTCAATGAAATTTTACATGGAACAATTTATTGAACACGTAAATAATCAATCCCCGATAGAAATTGAAGCAGAACAAGTCGATCAAACATTAAGTCAAGAACTGCAAGGTGTTCAACCAGATCAAAATTTTTATATTAAATTTTCTGATATTAAACGATTAATTTCAACTTTAAAAAAGAAGAATTCTACCGGTCTGGACGGCGTTTCTAATAAAATTATTAAAGTTTTACCTTCCAATCATCTGATATTTATTACTTCAACGTCAACTATATGATTCAAAATTTAAAATGTCCTCAACATTGGCATATTGCAAAAATGATATTGCTATCTAAAAATAAATCATCAATTATTGAAATAAACGACACTCGTCCAATCTCATTACTGCCTTTTTTCTCAAAGTTATATGAAAAAATTTTTCTGATACATTTTCAAAAATGGATTTAGAATGAAGGCATTCTCCCCGATGAACAAACAGGATTTCGTGCTGGACACAATATGTTTACACGTATAGTATCAATTAGTGATCAAATAGGACAAGGTTTAATCACAAATACAGCAGCAGCCGTATTATTTGTAGATTTTAAGAGCGCATTTAATCAAATGTGGTTCAAAGGACTTTGGGTGAAATTACAGCAATTAAATTGCCCAAAATATATTATAGCGTGGTTAAGAAATTACCTAACAGGGCGATCTGCTTATATAGAAATCAAGGGGCATAGATCCAATTGCTTCTCATTACAGAAAGGTGTACCACAAGGCTCGTGTGTAGGTCCAGTATTATTTACAGTCTTTCATTATGATATTCTAACAGCCATGTCTAATTTACACTTTAAACATTTATACGCAGATGATCTTGCGATAGTATTTTTACCATCGGCTACATGGTCATCAAAACAGCTCATGCCATATCTGTCTCATCAAATAACACAAGTAATAAAAGATCTATATAATTACTCCATTACTTGAAAACAACCTATTAACTTCAAAAAAACATTTTGGACTCTCTTTCATAGGCAAGTAGTACCAAAAATCCCTGTTATTCATTGCAATAATTATGTTATCGAACAAGTTTCAAAATTCAAATATCTTGGTGTTATTCTTGATTCAAAATTAAGTTTTAGATACCATCTCGATTATATAATATCAAAAATTTCAAAGAATCTTGCAGTATTCAAGCGAATATCGTCCAGCCGCATATTATCCGAAGAAATCTCTTATAGATTATATTATGCCTTCATTCGACCCTATTATCAATCACTTTTGAATATCTATCCTGTATTATCTAATACAAATAAGGAAAAGCTAGAAACATTGAATCGAAAAATTTTTCGCATTATAAATAGATGGCATGATGCAACTAATGACGAAATATCGAATCTACCAACTTTCAAATCAATGGAATCACTTACACAAATTCATTTCAAAAAGTCATTACCTTCAATCGTACATAGTAATCCAGCTATTATTACTGATTATTTACAGCACAAATTATATATTTTATTTTTAAAAGAATATTACACTAATCCGACTCTTTTAAAAGAAAAACGCGAAATTGTGGGAAAAGAAAGAACATCGAATCGTATTCGTAAATTACTATCATCACAGAACTTTTCATTATTCGATCAAGTTTTTTGTTTTCAGTTATAAGAAATGAGAAAACGTATTATAAGAACTAATGTTGGCATTTGATTTCTGTCGCTTTGAGTGACGACTGGTAGAGCATGATCTATTTATCTCCATTGAAGTTATCAACTTATTATTGTAATTATGTAATTGTGATCTATCAAGTAACATTCTATTTTGTAAATGTTTACCATCTTCAGTGATTTCTATATCATATGATTCAAAAATACTCATTGGTTTTTTTTCATGACTTCAGGGACGATGTTCGTCCAAGTCTGTTTTCTCCATTATTCACGACTACTACTATTTATTTATATTTATTCTTCTTCTTGTCCCTACCCTAAATGATTAATAAAGCGATATACTACTACTACTACTAATATCGAAACAGTTGAATAGACTAAAACTGAAACACTGCTAGTTCACTCTTATATTTCTATTTTTGTATTTCGATTAGATATTAATCTAGTTTAGAAAGATTGATTATGAGATGAATATCTTTTGTTTGAATATAGTTAATATTAAAGAAGGTAATTCTTTTGAATTGATCCAATGAAGGATATGACAAATGATCGATGAGATTTACTTACTGTCATGATCAATACATAATCAATGAGCTTCAAATGGATCTTTATGCGATAATATATAATTTGTGACAAAATGCCTATTAGATTTATCATCGAAACTTATAAAGATTTGGTAGATCGATTTATCATTGGTCCACTTATTTTAGTCGATTGCGACTTGAATATTTTGTTCTTAAACAAGTAGTCACAGCTGAATGTACTTATCTATATATGCATATTATCTCCTGATAAGACTAAATAAAAATAGAATTTTGTCTTTGATGCTGTTATTCAATACGATATGGATGCATTACTAATGCTTATTCATTCTAATTAATGCATTCATATGACCGAGCTAATGTGAACATGATAATGATGCTTGCCCTTATCTTAATATGTAATATGCTAGTTGTATTTCACTTCATCGGTTCATTGATCATCTTTTATGTGAAGAATGGTGAAGTTGAATTGGATTGAATTTTCTTTAACATTTCTATGGTTCTCTTAACAAAGAAATCATTGAACTTAATGAAAAAAATATTTATCTCAGTCAGATAAAATTTTTGATAATATCATCCATGATAATGCCTACACATATATTGTAGTCGATGCTGTAATTGATGTCGGCGGATGAAGCATGTAATGATGTTTTTTACCGATTTTCTTAGTTCAAAGATATGTTCTAAATGAAAATCGAAGAAAATGCTCATACACAATGTAAGGATAAAAATAAATAATCAAAAATCATTCTGGATGAGGAAAGCCTTGAAAGATTTCTCATCTATTTTTCTATAACGGTGGCTGTTGATTTGATTAGCTTCCATCCAATGAGAAGAAAAAAGACCCTTCCGTGATTCTGTCCATTTCGAATGATTCTAACGATTCTAAAATGAATGTGCCTACTCGAGTGGGAACGTACAAATGATCATTACCTTCCCAAGTAAAATTCAAAGTGAAAATGATGAAATTTGATTCTTGAGGGTGTAGGTGTGAGCATTGTTCTCTTTTTCAGCAAGACATTCACACCCATACCCAAAAGATTAGAACGAATTGCAAAGTCAGATTTAGGTCTATCGCCCTTTTACAATGATATATTTTGCTGAAGTGCATTTCATAAGAGAAAAAAATGATCATCTGGATCATTTTTTCGAATGCAACGAGTTAGACATACACGTGGAATGCATTAATCACTGCTTCGTCAATGACTTGAATTTTTATGCATGTGAAGTTTGCCGTGTTATTATTTAAGTGTCACTCTCTTTTCTCTACTTGTTTCATGATCTATCATTCCGGTTTTTCTTTCTTTCTTTCTTTTTCTTTTTTTCCTGTTATTTGCTGTTTTTCATCACACTTTATCTAGCAAACGTCGCATCCTTTAAATCTATTGTGTTTTCTTGTATGCTTATATCGCCCATGATTCTCTTAATCGAGCAGCTGTGATTGCTTACGATATCGATGGTAAGCACCTCCGAGTGTAACAATAAAGAGAGCGAAGTCAAAAAAATGTATTATTTTCATCATAATTTTTTTTGTATCAACATATTCTCGAACTATTTTCTGTTAGTTTTGTTGATAAGTGTTATTAATGGGTTATCATTTTCATTTTGGATTTCTGCTGTTGATGGGTGTTGCGCTATTTGATGTTGTGTAGTTGTTATTTTCGGACTAGTGTTGGCTATTTGTCTATTATCTCCTTTTCTACTGCATGTCTTTTCAGTTTCAATATTAAATTTGTCTCCAAGTTGACTAGTGAATATCCCGAACTTACGATTTAGAGCTTCGAATATTCTTTCTGTTGCTTGTTCAACAACAAAATTATTTTTTCTGTGAGTGTTTCGATGACTGGTATTTGATCTGTTTTTTGTATTTTTAACAGTTAGACATTCATCTAGATTATTCCAGTCGGGACAAGTTTGTGGTCATCTATAATAAGTTTTTTTGTTGCTGAATATGGATCGATGGTTTTTTGTATTTTTGTGTTGGTATACATTGAATTCTGGACACTCTATAGATGTTGATTACTGTTGGGACGATTGTCGTACTTATGATTTGCAGCTTCACATCTCGAACAGGTTTTGTTTTCAGATCTGCTGTACTTTTCCACATACCAATATTTGAAACACTTGTAGCACTGACATGGTTTATTATTATGAGTGTAAGTCATTTTTACTGTTTTGAGAGGCTTGTTTTCGCTATTCAACAAGCATGTGACTTTTGGATATTTTAATTTCTGATCATCTAGTGATTCTTTAATACCATCATCACTTATTTCTAGATCGATCTTCTTAACGAACGCTTCTTTTTTATTTCCCAATATTCTTTGAATAGAATGCGGAATACAAACAACATCACGTTGATTGTCGTTTGTTTGAGTAATCGAAGACAGATCATTCAGTAATCGATTGAAAAATTTCACATCATTTGGATATAATTTGAATGAGTTTGGTCGATTAGTTTGTATATTTGAGATTTTAACATGTGATAGATAATTCTTTTACGAGAAGGTTTTTTTGGCTTACGTAGATGCTTCAGTTTCAACTATCAATGGTGGAACTTCAAAACTATGTTTCATTTTTGTTGTTTGTTGTTTTTAGTCTACAGTTGTCGGTATTTGAGGCATATTGGGGGTTGATGCGATTGCCCTTGAAATGTCTTGTTCGTTTTTTCTACGTCCGCAAACATCTCCGCCTCTTTTTGGCGGCATATTGATTCGATGTTAGTTGTAGCAATATTAAATGGTGTATCGGTTAATTCTGTTAACCTTTTCTTTTTCTTTCTTAATTAAATTAAATTGGTTCTTAGTATTTTTCTTAATATTCTTGATTTTTCACTTGATTGATCTTTCAGTGCAAACGAGAGAAAAAAAGAAGTGATACATATGTTTAGTCGGTAGAGCGTCAGAAGAATGAATATCTCGACTATTGCATAGAGCAAAAGTCGGATTAGCTTGCTTCAATTGCTTGTCTTTGTCAAAGCGCAATTGCTTTTGGTATTGTCTGAGTATTATGATGTTATTCTGTCTTTTTTGTCCTATCATGATGATTGAGAAAAAAAACAATAGAGAATCACGATTGAAGGTCGATAGGTATGAATGTGAAAAAGACCAGGTGTATATCTATGTATTTTTTTCCTCTTCACATAATATCAATATGGCAATCGAACCTTATTTTTCTCGCATCTCACAATGATAATGTTTTTTTTCTCTTCATCATGCGTATGCCCACACATCGAATAGTATTTAAAGAAATCGAATCGACAGAAAGAAAAAGAGTAATTAGCTAAGAATCTTCATTCGAGACAAAAAAAAACAATATAACATCAAGAATGCTTGCCAACAACGTTGCTGTTTTGTTCATGATAACGTATGTTACTGCTCAACAAACTTGTCAATTGACTGATCCAGATATTCTTGGACCTTATTATCTTCCTGGTGCACCTGCATCTAAAGAGCAACTTTGCACCAATTTACCGGCACATGATCGATTGATTTTAACTGGACAAGTACTCGATTATGAGTCGAAATGTCAACGTGGTATTTCCAATGTGAAATTAGATTTATGGCAGGTAAAGATTCTTGTCGAACTGAAAAAGATAATTCGATTTATGTGTACTACTCTAGGCTAATTACAATGGTGTGTATTCTGGTGGTCAGAATGCTAGTGATTGGTGGTGTCGAGGTGTCATTGAAACGGATTTCAATGGCAAATTTCGTATTACTACTTTGTTCCCTGGCCGTAAGTGTGACTTTTTTAGAATTATTAGATATATGAGATACTC